AGAGAGAGAGAGAGAGAGAGAGAGAGAGAGAGAGAGAGAGAGAGGAGAGAGAGAGAGGAGGCATGGGGACAGGGAGAAGTAGAAAGAAAGTGAGAAAGGGAGTGGGGAGAGAGGAGAGAAGGAAACAAGAAATCGGGGGGGGGGGGAAACAAGAACTGTATGTAGCTCATTGAAAAGGCCCAGGGTTAAATCCCTAATTCCTGGCGTGACATGAAGAGAGAAAGGAAAGGATACAGTGTTACATGTTCTGTAGCGTCAGGGTGGAAATTGATGAATCATTATAAGTATAGATGGAGAGATTTGAGGAAGCATAAAAAATGTTAATTATAGAATCTAGATGTATATGAGTATCCCCACACAGTTTTCTCCCTCTCTAGTTTGTTTGTTTTAGTATTTGTAAGGCAGTGTTAAGAAATAGGATCTCCACTCTCATTAAGTATACATAGGAGTCAAGAGTAATGGGCTGGAGATTATCTCAGTGGTTCTGCCGCCTGCCTTGAAAGTGCAAGGTCCAGATCCCCGGTACCAAAAAAAAAGAGTAATCGTGTGATTTAAGATTACCAGGTGTACATACTAAGTTGATGGCCGGGTTTGTCTTTCTTGCAGGTTAAGTTCAGTGAACTAACTGTTGACATGTTCCGGATGTTACAAGCCCTGGAAAGGGAGCCAATGAACTTAGCCTCTCAGATGAACAAGCCAGGAATGCAGGTGATCTACTCCCTGTATTTTATAAGGTGCTGACAGTCTTGCTACTTCTGATCCTTACTGGGTACAGCTTGCTGTTCAACAAATGCTAGGAAATGTGTACAAAGAACTCCTGACTGGATATGAACAAATTAATAAGCATAATCTCAGTAATGCTGAGGAAAAGAAGGATACATGATAGGGAAAAGAAAGTAGGCATTAGTCATTCGTCTGTCAAACATGGCTTGTATGTGTATTGTTTTTTGTGTATAAATATAGGAATCTGCTGATAAACCTACCAGACGAGAAAACCCCCATAAATACCTGCTCTACAAACCAACCTTCAGCCAACTCTACACATTCTTAGCAGCATCTTTTAAGGTATGAGTGATCTAGTACTTCTTACTAGGTGGGGGAAGTGTGCTTTAAGACAAATCTGAGTCACTTCTCTGAATATCTGAATTAAGAGTTTGAAATGAAGACAAAATGAAGACATACCTTCACTCAAAATAACCCTAACATGGCAGTTTTGAAATGAAAATTGCTTATGATGTTGCAAATGATTCTTACCATGAATTAAGGAGAATATTGATTATTTATCATTCTCCTTATTCCAGGTTTTTATTACTAAATTACTTCAGATGTAACACTCAATGCAGATCTGAACAGCAAGAGAAGAGTACATAGCATGTCGTATATCCAGGCGGCTCTATGAAACATCTTGATCATCTGAAAGCATGATGAGAAATAGGTGCATTCTCCCCAAAGCTTAGGGGAGGTTTGTCTTTTAGACCTATAATCTGGGTGTTTAGTTCTCCATTTCAAGTTTACGGAGAACATTCTCTAAATGTTGGGGATTTGAACCAGAGAACATCTTTACAGCTTTTGGCAGCCTTTGAACATTACAAATTAATAGAGAACTTTTGCTGTGCAAATAGTTGTAAGTCAGAACTACCAAGGGGCACTCTTCCCTCAGAAAAACAACAGTATGTTAAATTCTTGTGTCACCCACAACTTTAAATCTCCTGACCTTTAAATAAAACTGCTGTTTTTCCCTGTTTTTTATTTTGTATATGTGATTTTCTTTAATTCCAGGAGCTGCCTGCTAATAGTGTGCTTCTGATCTACCTGTCAGCTACTGGAGTTTTCCCCACAGGTCGTTCTGATAGTGAAGGTACAATAAAGGAATGCTCCCTGTTGTGAGCAGGGCTTGAATTTTTCTGTTTTCTACAAGACGGTGGCTCTTTGCTCACAGAACATCTTAGGCTTTCTACAAAGGCTTCCAATTTTAAAACCTGGTCTGTTATTGAGTTGACAATCTTGCCAATACCCCAGTCTGTTTTTCATACTGAAATATTATAGTTTGAGGCCCACAGATTATTAGAAAATTCATGGAATTTGATGTTTTAAGTTGAAAAGAATGATGGATAACCAAGCCTAATTACTTATTTCACATCAGTAAATTTTTCCGAGTCTTTATTGTATTACGTCTTTGTAGAAATCAGTGTACTTTTGTAACTATGAAAGTTCAAGTCCTTGCTATGATGTTGTTTTGAGTTTGGATTCAGTCTGTAGAACATTGGGATGGTGTTTCAGAATAAAATCTTAATATTGTCCAAAATGTATGAGTCCAGAAATTGGTCAGAATAGATGAGTAACTTAGATTTAAATAAGTCAAATTAAATCTTTGGGGAAATTTTTTTTCTTAACACTTTTGACATTTTCCTGCTCATCTGTTTGTTGAAATCTGCATTCCTTTATAAAGTGCATGCTTGTGCCATCTTCCTTGCATGACCTATAAATTCTCTTAAAATGGGAAAATAAAAACAAAACAGAATAAATCTATAGTCTCTGTCATTGTAGTGATATTTTAAAGGAAGATAATACCTTTTTTACATTTAACACAGTTTTTAGTGTGTAATAAAGCTAATAATTTTCTTATAAATAATTATTTCCATGTGTTATACACTGTGAAATCGTTTTTGTGTCTCTGCTTAGCACATTGCCCTCTTATTTTACTTTTTCAAAGTATAATAGGTAATAACTGAATGATCCCTTAAGAGAAATTAGTCAGATGTGCCAAATTGCTGTCCCACTTAGACAAGAGTTGCCTAATTCACATAACCATGGGAAACAGCTAACTTCAAACCAGAACTACAATGGCTGATATACTAGCAATAATAATAGATTCTTCACACACTGGTATCTGGCAATATCTTTTGTAAAAAGGAAGTTTTTGTCAATGAGCATTTTCAAATACCATTCAAATCTCTCCCCAAATTTTATGATTAGTGGTTTCATTTAAAATTATATTTATTTTAAGAGATTAAGATTTCTATCTACAACTGTCTCTTTGTGTGTGTGTGTGTGATCCTGGGGATTGAAGTCAGGATCTTGCACTTGGGAGACAGGTGCAGTGCCACTGAGCTAAATCCCTGGCCCAATGTGATTGTCTTTTTAAAATAAGGTGGTAAACCAGAGATTTAAATTTTGCTTGAAATGGAAAAGTCATTTTGAACATACCAGATTTCTGTTCCATTAATCTGGGTGCATGATCTCCATCCATCCCTAAATGGGATGCGGTAGGTTCTTGTTTTGTTTCTCATTATATTCTGTGTGAAGCACTAGTGAATATTTAAATGACTTTTAAAAAAGTTGATACAGGAAGCATGCTGAAATCATTTAAATACTGTATTAAATTTAAATTTTAAAATAACTTAAATAGCTTTATAATTATCTTTCACTGTACCAGTGAGAGAGTCCCACAGTACTTTTGTGTCTAAACATCAGATCAGAGTTACCCTCCAGTTGAAGTCTAGGATTCTCCCATTTGTTTTTATAGGTCCTTATGATTTTGGAGGTGTACTTACTAATAGTAACCGAGATATTATAAATGGAGATGCTATCCACAAACGAAATCAATCCCAGAAGGAAATGCATTGGTATGTATTTTGACACTTCTCACTATAAAAACTTTAGCTCTCTATTTTACAATATTAATTTAAGTGGGAACTTTTTCCTGGTACTAGAAAGGTTCCCTTAAACTACTATTAGTAATATTTATTTGGGTTCCAGCAATATTTAGGCCCTGTTTTGTTGAGTATCCATTATAGTCAAAGGTACTGTTCAATCATTGAGGTTATGAGAGTGAGCAAAACTGTAATCTGGTTGAAAAATACAATATCAATCCCAGAAGGAAATGCATTGGTATGTATTTTGACACTTCTCACTATAAAAACTTTAGCTCTCTATTTTACAATATTAATTTAAGTGGGAACTTTTTCCTGGTACTAGAAAGGTTCCCTTAAACTACTATTAGTAATATTTATTTGGGTTCCAGCAATATTTAGGCCCTGTTTTGTTGAGTATCCATTATAGTCAAAGGTACTGTTCAATCATTGAGGTTATGAGAGTGAGCAAAACTGTAATCTGGTTGAAAAATACAATAAAGCCTGTAATCCCAGCACTCAGGAGGCTGAGGCAGGAGGATCACTGTGAGTTCAAGACCAGCCTGGGCTACATAGAGAGTTCCAGGTCAGTGTCAACTACATAGTGAGACCCTGTCTTAAAAACAAAACAAAAAAAGACAATAAATATATACATAAATAAATCTGGTAGGTCATGATACATTTTAAGATTAATGAGAACTTTTTTTTTTATAGTGGTAGGCTGTAGATCAAACCTCGGGCCTCATACATGTTAGCCAAGTGCTTTACTATTTGAATCGCATGCTCATCCCAATGTGAACTTTTTAATGTAAGATTCTTTGGCTTTACATAGCACAAATGAACTTAGCTGTATGATTTCAAATAGAATTTCATCTGTGAAATTGCTTCTGCTTCTAAGCACAATTCCTTTGCTGTTTCTGCCATTATTGGCAGTATAATTTATCTCGCTGAAAGAGAACGCAATCTGATTATAGAGATAAATAAACTTAACTGAAATTCCACATCTAATAATAGTTTACATTAAAAAGTCCATTGTTGGGCCGGGGATTTAGCTCAGCGGTTCGGTGGCCTGCCTTGCAAGCACAAGGACCTGAGTTCAATCCCTGGTACCAAAAAAAAAAACAGTACCAAAAAAAAAAAAAAAAGTCAATTGTTAGGACCAGGGTTTAGCTCAGTGGTTCTGTCACCTGCCTTGCAAGCAGAAGGTCCTGAGTACAATCTCCAGTACCACACATACAAAAAAAGTCAACTGTTCATGTTAAAGAACAGGAAAGGGAGACCGGTCAGGTAGATATTTCAGATTTTGCATATACTAGTTACAGGTCCTTTAAGCCACTTTTTGGTGCTGTTCTTGACATTATTTGTTAGAAATACAGATGAGGGGCCAAGGATTTAGCTCAGTGGTTCCACTGCCTGCCTCAAAAACACTACGTCCCAAGTTCGATCTCCGGTCCTATTAAAAAAAAAAAAAAAAAGTTTTTCAGAGAAATACACAACAGATGTATGAAAAGGTGCTAAACAGAACTAATCATTAGGGAAATGCAAATTAAAACCATACTTCTTCTCGCCTATTAGAGTTTCTGTTATCTAAAAGACAAAAAAATAACAAGTGTTGAGAGCAGGGTGCAGAGTGCTTACCAGGATCTGGGGTTGGGGAAAATGGGAAGATTTGGTCAAAGAATAGGACCTTTAAGTTACGCATAAGTTCTGAGGATCTAAAGTACAGTATTATGATAATTAATAATATTATATTATTTACTTGAAATTAGCTAAAACCAATATCTTAGTTACTTTCTTTTGTTGTTGTTGTTGTTGTTTTGTTTTTTGTTTGTTTGTTTTTTGGTACTGGGGATCGAATGCTGGACCTTGCCACCACATTGCCACTGAGCTAAATCCCAGGCCCTTTAGTTACTTTTCTCATTGCTGAGACAAAGTATCCAACACCCGTAAGATAATGAAGAAAAGGTTTATTTTGACTCACAGTTTGTAGAAGTTTCAGTTCATACTTGCCTGCTTCCAAGGCAGAGTGGCGTGGTATAGGGGCATCACAGAGGAGAAACGATCCATGGTGTGGCATGCAGAAGAAGGCAGAAAGAACAAGCATCCAGCCTGCTTTTCTCTCTCTCTCTTTTTTTTTTTTTCTTTTTTTGGTTTGGTTTTTGAGACAAGGTTTCACTATCTAGTTCAGACTGCCCTGGAACTCACTGTGTAGCCCAGGCTGATCTCAAACTAAGTGACCCTCCTGCCTCAGCCTCCCAAGTGCTGGGATTACAGGTGTGCACCACCACGCCCGGCTTCTGCCTTTCTCTTTTATCCCATCCAGGCTACCAGCCTTTTAGGTGGTGCCATCTAGAAGTAATGCTAATTCCAATCAATGGGCTAATTTAGTACTATACATTCTTTTATGGTTTGTCTGTTCGTTTGTTTTTGCGGTACTGGGAATCAAACTCAGGACCTTGTTCTTGCCAGGCAGGCACAGTGCCACTGGACTACATCCCCAGCCCAGTACCACACATTCTTAATTTCAGTGCTACACAAAAATCCCTCCAGCTCCAAAAAGCCCCACCTATGATTGCGAGGCTTTTGGGGGACGTTTAGATACCAGCTATAATAAGCATTTTCACATAACACATAAACAAAGGGTAAGTATTTGGGGAGGTGCATGTGTTGATTAATTTGATCACTGGTGGTTACTGCACAATGTATGTGTATGAATATATTTATTTTACATTAATATTAATACAGAGCTGCACAGAGGATTATGAGTTTGGGTGCAGTATGGGCTATATAGCAAGTTCAAGACCCTGTCTCAAAAAAAAAAAAAAATTAGTTGCACATACACACATTGTCCACTAAGCCATGGGAAAGTGCATGCACAACAAAATGCTGGCCTTCTACAGAGTGGTTCTCAAATGCGTGGTCCTGAACTTAGCCTTTGGGGTCAGTAGATCTACTGTGGACCAGTGAGTTTACCTGTTTAACATCAGCCGAGTGACTTTGATTCTAGTCCAGAGGAAAACACAAAGGGTAGTAGAACTTGTTTTCCTCCTATCTACAATATTAACATATAGCTTGAAATAAGTTTAAAATGTTTAAAATAGGTTTGGAAAATGAGGACTCATTGATATATAGATCTAAGTATGTTGCTGTATCTTATTTTCACAACATTCCTTGAACTTTTAAATATGAAGTATACAGCTACATTCTGACTTCTGAGCTTTTTTGCTGGACATTTAGTCATTTTAAACTACATAGACTTCTCTGATACATTCTTGAGAGATTGTTTGTTTGGAGGTTCTAGCAGAGGAATGTAGCTACTGATATACCCTTGACCAAGGAAATGGTCCTCATCTATTGGGGATGGCTGTCCTCTTCGAGGGAGTGCGCAGATTTGGGAGGGATGAACATGGAGGGGTGAGGGAGAAGGGGACACCCGCCTAGCCAACCAGACCAGTGGAACCAGCCCTGGCGATCAGTGGGTTGATAGATGTTGCAGTCAGATCACCCTCGTATCCATATTCTTGAATAACAATTGTCTCTGAACTTTCTGTTTTTAACTAAGATCATCTTGACTGGTCCAGTGAATAGAGTCATGTTTTTGTCCTTTGCTTAATTAATTAATCTTTGTTTTTCTCCAGTGATCTGATGGAAAGAAACTGAGTAGACCAAACTGAAGAATAAGATCTCTCACACTTTAACCCCCATGGTCACATAATTCCTCATTGTTGTTGTTGCTGTTTCCCCAGCCTTCATCCTGGAGATCTCTACCCTTTCACAAGGAAGCCCCTGTTTATCATTGTGGATTCCTCCAACAGCGTTGCATACAAGGTGAGTCCTCTGAGAGCCAGTGCATGTGTGGACTTCCTGGCGCCACCCCAGGGGTACCCACTCATAATGTGTGCCTTTTATTTTGCTTTATTTTACAGTTTGTATTTAGTGTTTCTTTTCTTTTGAGGTTGTGCATGCCAGTTACAATCTGGTGCTAGGAATAGAAATGAGAAAAAAAATGCATGAATGAATACTTGCTGGAAAATAATAAATCCTCCTATGACAAAAAAAAAAAAATTCAAAATTTCCAAGATCTTTGGTGGGAGATTTATTTTTGTTACATGACCCAGAACAGACTCTTTTTATAGAAGTAGAAACATATGGAAGAATTTTATTTTCTAGTTTTCAAACATTTTCCCCTTCTATACATGAGCTACTGTAGTTTAGGTGAAACTTCATTTTTGTTTTATATTTTCTTTTTGCAACAAAGTCTAGCTATGTAGTTCAGACTGGCCTTGAACTCACCATGTAGCCCAGACTGGGGCAAACACACAGAGAGCCTCCCAAGTGCTAGTAGGTGTATGCCACCACACCCAGCATAAGTGAAACTTGTAGCCCATGTTACACAGTGATAGTCTTTGAATATTACCAAGTATTCCTTTTTCCTTTCATATTTGTAAATGTCCTTATTAATGACAAATAAGTTTTGTACTCTTTACTTACTGGTTTTCTAGACACAGCTCACCCAGATACTTTGTCTGTTTAACAACACGTGGCTTTCCTTTTTTGCTCATGCTGGGTTGATGTATTGAAAACAAACTACCTTGTTCATTCTAATAGCAGCCAACATCAGTCATTCTTACCATGTTGCTTTCCATCATGAAACCACTCATGTAATTCTGGTGGAATTACAGGATAAGCTTCATAACCTATGCTGCTGCCGCTACCTAGAGGTGGAAATTTCAGGCCTCTTGAGCTTTGTGGATCTCCGTGGTCATTGCTCCTCTGCCACCCATTCTTGTTTCTCTCTCTCTTGGATCCATGTAGACCGTCGGCTGTAACTTTCCTGTTTGGCGTCTTTGTTCTTCCATCTCATGTTGGTGAATTATCAACTCTTCCTCCCTTCTACATTGTTCCTTCTCTTGTCTCAATTATATTTCTTTACATTTCTACCTACCTGCCTGCCTGCCTTTCTTCCTTCCTTCCTTCCTTTCCTTCTTGAGACAGGGTCTTGCTGTGTAATTCAGGCTAGCCTTGTGGCCCAGGCTGGCCTTGAACTCACAGGGACCCTCCTACCTCAATTTCCCGAATGGTGAGAGGCAAATCCTTTGCCTTTATTGTTAAAAGCCTCTCCTGGTTTTTTATATTTATCAGTCTTTTGAATTCATCCTCTGCAATATCAGCAGATAAATTCCTAACAAACACCTGACAAAGCTGAGTATAAGTTTTCTCTCTAGGCCTCCCCAAGAGAGATGAGTTTCCTTTAAATCCCTCCAAATCAAAGATGTTTCCTTGCTGTGGCTGCCCGGGCCTATGCAGCACTTTTGCCCACCTGACATCTTGGTGCAAGTGAGTTGCCCCGGGCTGCCCCACAGTGGGAGGTAGCAGATCCACCCGGCCTGCACAGGAGTCAAAATGTTATGTCATGTACACATAATTTTAAAAAATTATGTCAGTGAAAAAAATGATGCTGAATACATGAAATGAGTGACAGTTCTAACTTGAATTCTCTTTTATATATTTTACAATGGAAGCAGTGCTTTTGAATGATTCTAAAGGGAATGACAGTAGCAAATGCCAAAACCTTAAGGTTAGATAGTAAAATTCAAACCAGAGTTATAGGAAAATGAAAATACAATCTTTGAGTCCTTTGTATTGTGTTAGAATGATTCAGGAGTGAAAAATACATTCAGAAACATTCTAGGTACTCAGATTTACTGCTTAAAGCTATTTCTGATGTGGATATTCATATTTGCAATTAGAAGGAGAAGCAATTATTAGTAAGTTTATTTCAGGAGAACAATGGAAATAGCTAACTTGTCCAGTATCCAAGAGAACAAATATATGTGTTTTTCATTTTTAAAAATTAGTTTCATTTAAAAAAATTATACCATCAGCCAGCCATGGTGGCACCTACGTGTAATTACAGCACTCGAGTCTGAGGCAGGAGAACCATCATGAGTTCAAGGTAAGCCTGGGCTACATAGTGAATTCAAGACCAACCTGGTCTATTTAGCAAGACCTTGCCCCAAAATATTTTTTATTTTAATTAATTAATTTAATTTAATTTAATTCTGAATTCCAAGAACACCCAACCCACCTTAAATTTTTAAGTATATTTCATGCTGCCCATTTTATCAGGTTTAATAGTACAGGTTTTGATTTTTAGAAAAATTAGCTGTACTTAGTATACTTTCTTAACCTGTGAATTTCTTTTTTTTTTTTTCTTTTGGTACCTGGGATTGAACTCAGGATCTTGCATTTGCTAAGCAAGTGCGGTGCCACTGAGCTAAATCCCTGGCCCTGTGAATGTCTTGTAGTGAGAGATGGGAGAGAATGAGAAGCTGCTGAAGGAAAAGGCTTATTGCCCTTCTTAAACTTCCAAAGACAGAACAGTGTGGTCAATGTGTATCTTCACAGAGCTCACAGGAAGCATTCCATGACTTTATCAGTGAAAAAGACTCATTGTTAGTGTTTGATGATGGACAGAATATGTTGATATCCTAGGTCATGTGAAATATATAGTGTGACCTTGTGTGCATATATTTTATTTCTCTCAACTTGATTGGACATTATTGTATGTTACTTTATATATTATGAAGAATGTCATTCATTGTATATCTGTTATATCCAGAGCACTGTTTGCATAGAAAATGAATATTAGATACCGATTCTTCAAAATACTATTGTGTGTAATTATAAATTTACTTATTCAATTATACATTATGATTTGAGTCCATAATCTACAGTTCTGATGCCAGGACAACTGTGGGGTGATAGGAAGGGTCATTTGTATTTGTCTACTTCTGGTGGGCCATGCAGTATAACTCTTCTGAAGGATTAAATTGTACAGAGCATACTGTCCCCAGAAATGAATGACAAACCCATGTGCAATAGGCATATTCCACCATGGCACGGATCAATTTGGTCTTTTAAAAAATTCCTTTGACTTAATGTATCCAGTTTGCACCTGAAGATCTCTGTGGTACCACATGAAAATTACTGGTAACATACTTTTTCCACAAAAACATATGAAGACATCTTTTTTTTTTCTTTTTGTGGGACAGGGTCTCACTGTAGTTCAGGCTGACTTTGAATTCACTATGTAGCCCAGGCTGGCCTCAAACTCACAATGATCCTGCCTAAGCCTGCAGAATGCTAGATTACAGGTGTACACCACCACGCCCATCCAAGATTGTGTATGTATATGGTGTGTGTGTGTGTGTGTGTGTGTATTAAAACCCAGGACTTTCACACTGAACTACATCCCCTACCTTTTTTTGTTAAGGTAGGATCTCACTAAATTGCTAAGTTACCCAGGGTGGATCCAAACTCAAACTCATGATCCTCCTTCCTTAGCCTCCCAGCGTACTGGGTTACAGGCATGCAGTACCATGCTGTATGTATATGGTGTGTGTGTGTGTGTGTGTGTGTATTAAAACCCAGGACTTTCACACTGAACTACATCCCCTACCTTTTTTTGTTAAGGTAGGATCTCACTAAATTGCTAAGTTACCCAGGGTGGATCCAAACTCAAACTCATGATCCTCCTTCCTTAGCCTCCCAGCGTACTGGGTTACAGGCATGCAGTACCATGCCTGCCTTGATGTATTATTCCTTTCCTTTCTTTTTCATTTGTTTGTTTTTTTAAAAACTTTGTCCCCGTTGTCTCCTCTAGGTATTGACAGCATTGCCAGTCTCCCCAGCCTGAGCAGACCTTACCCTCTGCCTGCACAGTACCTCACACTTACAGATACTTAATAAGGGCTTGTTTGGCCAGGGATTTAGCTCAGTGGTTCAGCTGTCTGCCTTGCAATTTCAAGGACCCAAGTTCGATCCCTGGTACCCAAAAAAGGGGGGTGCTGGGGATGTTCCTCAGTAGTAGTGCACTTGCCTAGCATGCTCAAGGCCCTGGTTTCATTCCCTAGCATCACAAGAAAAAAGGCAAAAACCAAAAAGTCCTTCATAAATATATAGTGTATAACCAAGTAGGATTCATCCAAAGGATGCAGGGATGGTTCAACATATGCAAATCAATAACTATAAAGCACTCTATTAACAGAGCCAATGACAAAAACCATATGATCCTCTCAGTAGAAGCAGAAAAAACATTTGACAAGGTCTGACACCCATTCGTGATAAAAATCCTACAGAAAATTGGAGTAGATGGTCTTAATTTCACTCTGATAAAAGCCATCGATGACAAACCAACAGCCAACATCATCCTAAATAGGCAGAATCTGAAAGCTTTCACTCTACAATCAAGAACAACATGGGGCTCCCGAACTGATCTGGGCCTGTGTGACGCTCTGAGCACAAGCTGCCGCCCCAGATTTACCTGCGGCCGTGGTCAGCCCAGGACAGCCCTGCCACCAGGGGCCCAAAGTGAGCCCCCCTCCCCTCTCAGCGGCCTTCCCGGCCTGGGGTGCTCCCAGAACAAATGAGGCCCCTGAGAGCTCCACCTAGCTCACAGGATAAAATCCCCTAGCAGAACTCAAGAGTCAGCAATGGCTAAGCCCCAAGTGGCTGTGGCTCCTGTGTTAATGTCTAAGCTGTCTGCCAGTGACCCCGAATTTTACCCATCAAGTTATTCTGCTTATGCAGAATCCTATGAGGATGGTTGTGAAGATTATCCTACTCTGTCAGATTAGTTCAGGAGTTTTTGAATCATCTTACACAACTACCTGGCAATTTTGAAACTGAAATTGAAGAGTTTTCAGAGACCCTGAATGCTGGTTTACAACAGATGATGCTTTGCAAGAACTTGTGGAACTCATATATCAGCAAGCCACATGTATCCCAAATTTCTCTTACATGGGAGCTTGCCTGTGTAATTACCT